AGTTCATATGCAGATTAGTAAGCCACTATGCTTGCATTCATATGCAGATCAGTAAGCCACTATGCTTGCATTCATATGCAGATTAGTAAGTCACTATCATTGCCTTCATATGCAGATTAGTAAGTCACTATGATTGTGTTCATATGCAGATTAGTAAGTCACTATGCTTGTGTTCATATGCCAATTAGTAAGTCACTGTGCTTGTGTTCATATGCAGATCAGTAAGCCACTATGCTTGCATTCATATGCAGATTAGTAAGTCACTATCATTGCCTTCATATCCAGATTAATAAGGCACAATGATTGCGTTCATATGCAGATTAGTAAATCACTATGCTTGTGTTCATATGCTGATCAGTAAGCCACTATGCTTGCATTCATATGCAGATTAGTAAGTCACTATGATTGCATTCATATGCAGATTAATAAGTCACAATGATTGTGTTCATATGCAGATTAGTAAGTCACTATGATTGAGTTCATATGCAGATTAGTAAGCCATTATGCTTGCACTCATATGCAGATCAGTAAGCCACTATGCTTGCATTCATATGCAGATTAGTAAGTCACTATCATTGCCTTCATATGCAGATTAATAAGTCACAATGATTGTGTTCATATGCAGATTAGTAAGTCACTATGATTGCATTCATATGCAGATTAGTAAGTCACTATGCTTGCATTCATATGCAGATTAGTAAGTCACTATGCTTGTGTTCATATGCTGATCAGTAAGCCACTATGCTTGCATTCATATGCAGATTAGTAAGTCACTATCATTGCCTTCATATCCAGATTAGTAAGTCACTATGATTGAGTTCATTTGCAGATTAGTAAGTCACTATGATTGCATTCATATGCAGATTAGTAAGTCACTATGATTGCGTTCATATGCCAAAAATAATATTTAATGCAGAAAATATAAAAACATTCCAAATTATTTGTATTTTGTTGGGTTATATGTAGTAAAAGAAAGTAGGTTAACTTTCCATGGAACCTAATACAAGAGTGATTTTAGTGATGAATATGAATTTAAAATTAGGTTACCCTAGGGTTCTGATGCTTTTTTTGTTTTCACCTTAAATTTCATTCAAACCCACATAATTTAAATTAATTTTTTTTTCTATGCTAAGTTGTATTGTAATGGGAAAAGCCCTGATTTCTATAATTACCCGGTAATTGCTGGTGTTCGCATCTGCCAACAATTACTCCCACTCCTCTGACTTGTATCTTCTTTGTTATCAGGGCTATTCAAGAGAGTCTGAGATTATCTCAAGAACCAGAACCTTCCGAATCAGATAACCCGACAAGATGTTTAACCCATCAACCACTGCCGCCCACTTCATTACCACCACCACTAGGAGCAGGTAGTGATAATGAACTTGATCACCAACTTAAGCTAGCTTTAGAACTATCGGAGAAAGAACTGAAAGCAGATGAAGTAAGAAGGAAACAAGAACAGGAAGAGCTAGAGATGATACTACAGTTATCTTTGACCGAAAAATAGTGCAATGTTGGCGGTTATAAATCTTGTCATTCCCTAACTGGACATATGCCTGTGACATACTAATCATGTCTGACACATTGATCTCATTCGACATGTGTCACAGTTTGATGCATTGACTGCAGATTCCATATTGACATGTGTCATTCAATGTCAGTTTCACAAGCTGATTTAATTTGACGTATTAATATGTCACATTATAACACACATCAGTTCATCTGAAATAATAATTTATAAATAACTTAATGTTATGCATTGGACAACAAACTACTTAATTCTAATCTATGGATATTGAACGAATACACTGTAATCAACATTTAGTGTGACTTTTGCTATATTCTCATAATCTACGTTGTATTTGGTGTAGCGCTCAACTGGACTGAATTGCATTAACAACATAATACATACTTTTTATTTATTAAATTTTGCCAACACATTTCTTCCTAATATATTTGGAACAAATTTCCAGCAAATATAATTTACATAACAAAGCTGTCACTCTCACTTCCTTTTATTTTTAATTCCCACTTCCAATAAAATTTAGTATAAAGCCAGTGGTGTAGTCCTCCATTATCAACCTGCAGCCACTTTCTAATATAACCTATAAAGTTATTCTTTTATGTGATTCCCAGACTTTTTTGTCATCGTGATACTTTAGAATTATTCAATTTTACATTGTTAAATACTTATTATCATATAATATTTCTAATACTTTTTATTATAATTTACTTGTTATTGATTTGAATTCTGTAAACTTTTTTCACTTGTAGAAAAGGTTAGTTAGTGATTTGAGGTACATGTAATTTCGGATAATGACGTTTTGTAATTTCCCCGATTCAAGCAGTTTACGGTTTTGTTTTTACTAAGACATGTAATCTACATGTGACTCATGTGATTTTTCTCTGCGTCGTCGTGTGATTTTTTTCTGTGCCGTTGTGTGATTTTTCTCTGGGCTTTCCTGTGATTTTTCTCTGCTTTTAGAGCTTTGAAGTATTTACTGTTCCTGACTGTAGCAATTGTTTGGAGTGATGTTGATGTGTAGCATAGCGAACGACAATGCAGTCCTTGTGCAGCATAGTTACACATAGCTGACACAAATATACTCTGTGAACTTTTTAAGTACAGACAATCTTGTATTTTGTATAGCCCATTATGCTACACTGTAAATAATGTGGGATTTTTTTTTTTTTGTATTCATTTTAATGTAACAGTGAATTTTTATTGTGATTTATTATTAGTACAATGATGGTATGTGTTTGTATGAATATTTACATGATTTTTAAATAACCAGAGATTTTTTTTTTTATTTTTGGTTTATAGTGAATACAAGTTCTGCCATTATTTTTGTATTTGTTGGTGCATATAAACATGGTGTCGTTTCATACTCAGTCGTGATTTACAGCAATATTTGTACAGGATTAATGTTTCATGTGTTCAGATTGTTTAATTGTTTTTGACTATATTTTAATATAAACTATCATGCTAATGGTGGTTTGATTCCATGTTCAGTAATTTAGGATTCTTTACAATACCATTCAGATTGATGTTGATGAGAACTATCCACATGTTGATTAGTGTTGAGCTGTGGTAAACTATCCACATGTTGACTAGTGTTGAACTGTGGTAAACTATCCACATGTTGACTAGTGTTGAGCTGTGGTAAACTATTCACATGTTGACTAGTGTTGAACTGTGGTAAACTATCCACATGTTGACTAGTGTTGAACTGTGGTAAACTATCCACATGTTGACAAGTGTTGTGAATCTGTGGTGAACGTTTCTCATTTTATTCTCAGTGAACATTATTGCACTATCCATCCATCCATGGCCAGGATGCATGCGTATGCTGTAGGTTTGTCTGATGAAAGCTGCATTGGTTTCTGGGTAGTGACATAGTTAGTGTCCAGGTTTACCAGTTACAAGCTAAATTAGTGTATATATTAGTCAATGTGTCAATTTAAGTGTAAATGTTATTTATAGAATTTTAATTATGGTATATTTCGCTTATTTGCCAACTATTATTATATATTAATTAGTGACCATGGTGATCACACTTTTTTGTAGTTTATTTAATTGTGGATTTCACAAAATCTGTGTGAAATAACTAACGATAATTCTAAAGTAACAAAGTGAATTTACATAATTTGTTACTAAACAGACAAAATTTGGAACTAAACAACTTGACTAAAGTATCATTTTATTTTACGGTCTATAAAAGATGGCAGAGCTAACTTTTTATCAATATCAGTGTTGAATACTGGCCACTTATTTACATCACTGCTGAGATCGTATTGAACACAGACTTAATTTAATTCAATGTTGACATTATATTGAACATCTGTGACTGTGGTATTGACTCTGATAGACCTCCTCCATGTTGTTAATGTATTACTGTAAAATACTTTATTTTGGCTTAGAAATAATTTTCGCTATTTTCTCTGAAGGAATGATTCAGTGAAAATAAAATCCAGGGAATATAGCTTTTTTCCCTATGTTTCACATTCAACTCATCAAAAATCAGTGAAAATAAATTCCATACAAAACACCCAAAATATCTTTTCAGTGAAAATTAATTCCAGCTAAAATAAAGTATTTTACAGTACCTAATTTATAACGTAGAGCTTCCAGCTTGCTGCTATGCTCAATGTGTATTCCACATGAAATATTAAATTTAACAATTGTTCTTGCTCAATCAATAAATGTCATAAGCAAAAAATGTATGCCAACACCATATATTCGTTTATCATTTGACGAATAAGCATTGTATTTCTGTATCTGTGAAGGCAATATAATAAGTGATTAATAAACTTGAATATTGTAACACGTAGTATCTCTTGATTGCATAGAAACGTGTGTTGTGTGTTTAACTAATGTGTTTCCATGGTTATAGCTAAAACAACATCCAGTTAAGATGAACATCATTTTGTGTGTGTTCTCTACCATTTTTCATATTCGTTACAGAAACAGGGATTTATCTATATTCATGTTTAGGACTAAGTAAGTGAAAGTCTTCCAATCAGAAACTACATTATGGCAATTTATTGTACTATCCTGGCAATGACCATGCATAAACAAGCACTGGTACTACCTATATCAATGCTCCGTCAGAGTGGCATCCATTATTGAATGCACCTTGGCTAGTGGATTTAGCCTTCCCATCGGGTCTGTAGCACAGGGTAAGGGGTTGAAACATTTTGGAGTTTAATTCTAGATAGGATTTGAAGTTTGATTGACTGATCATGAGTCTGACACAACAACCATTTCACTACCAGTGTTAACAAAACCTTCACATTCACTTATGCCATCAAATGAATATGGTGTAGGTTAGTGTGTCCTCTAACAACCCAAAACTGATATACAATAAAATGTTTTACACCTCAACAATGATCACTCCTGACTTTAAGTGTTGTGCAATGAACTCAAAACATCTCAGGAAGTACCGTGCAATGACATATCACAGGAAGTGTTGTGTAATGACCTCTAAATATCACAGGAAGTGTTGTGTAATGACCTCTAAATATCACAGGAACTGTTGTGTAATGACCTCTGAATATCACAGGAACAGTTGTGTAATGACCTCTAAATATCACAGGAACTGTTGTGTAATGACTTCTAAATATCACAGGAACAGTTGTGTAATGACCTCCAAATATCACAGGAACAGTTGTGTAATGACCTCTAAATATCACAGGAACTGTTGTGTAATGACCTCTAAATATCACAGGAACAGTTGTGTAATGACCTCTGAATATCACATAAACTGTTGTGTAATGACCTCTAAATGTCACAGGAACTGTTGTGTAATGACCTCTGAATATCACAGAAACAGTTGTGTAATGACCTCCAAATATCACAGGAAGTGTTGTGTAATGACTTCTAAATATCACAGGAACAGTTGTGTAATGACGTCTAAATATCACAGGAACAGTTGTGTAATGACGTCTAAATATCACAGGAACTGTTGTGCAATGACCTCTAAATATCACAGGAACTGTTGTGTAATGACCTCTGAATATCACATAAACTGTTGTGTAATGACCTCTAAATATCATAGGAACAGTCGTGTAGTGACCTCCAAATATCAAAGGAACTGTTGTGTAATGACCTCTGAATATCACAGGAACAGTCGTGTAATGACCTCCAAATATCACAGAAACAGTTGTGTAATGACCTCTAAATATCACAGGAACAGTTGTGTGATGACTTCTAAATATCACAGGAACAGTTGTGTAATGACCTCTAGATATCACAGAAACAGTTGTGTAATGACCTCTAAATATCACAGGAACAGTTGTGTAATGACCTCCAAATATCACAGGAAGTGTTGTGTAATGACTTCTAAATATCACAGGAACAGTTGTGTAATGACGTCTAAATGTCACAGGAACAGTTGTGTAATGACCTCTAAATATCACAGGAAGTGTCCTGCAATGACCTCTAAATATCACAGGAAGTGTCCTGCAATGACCTCTAAATATCACAGGAAGTGTCCTGCAATGACCTCTAAATATCACAGGAAGTTCCGTGCAATGACATATCACAAGAACAGTTGTGTAATGACCTCAAAATATCACAGAACAGTTGTGTAATGACCTCTAAATATCACAGGAACAGTTGTGTAATGACCTCTAAATATCACAGAAACAGTTGTGTAATGACCTCCAAATATCACAGGAACAGTTGTGTAATGACCTCCAAATATCATAGGAACAGTTGTGTAATGACCTCCAAATATCACAGGAACTGTTGTGTAATAACCTCTGAATATCACAGGAACAGTTGTGTAATGACCTCCAAATATCACAGGAACAGTTGTGTAATAACCTCCAAATATCACAGGAACTGTTGTGTAATGACCTCTGAATATCATAGGAACTGTTGTGTAATAACCTCTGAATATCACAAGAACAGTCGTGTAATGACCTCCAAATATCACAGGAACTGTTGTGTAATGACCTCTGAATATCACAGGAACAGTCGTGTAATGACCTCCAAATATCACAGGAACTGTTGTGTAATAACCTCTGAATATCACAGGAACAGTCATGTAATGACCTCCAAATATCACAGGAACTGTTGTGTAATGACCTCTGAATATCACAGGAACAGTTGTGTAATGACCTCTGAATATCACAGGAACAGTCATGTAATGACCTCCAAATATCACAGGAACTGTTGTGTAATAACCTCTGAATATCACAGGAACAGTTGTGTAATGACCTCCAAATATCACAGGAACTGTTGTGTAATAACCTCCAAATATCACAGGAACTGTTGTGTAATGACCTCTGAATATCATAGGAACTGTTGTGTAATAACCTCTGAATATCACAGGAACAGTCGTGTAATGACCTCCAAATATCACAGGAACTGTTGTGTAATGACCTCTGAATATCACAGGAACAGTCGTGTAATGACCTCCAAATATCATAGGAACTGTTGTGTAATAACCTCTGAATATCACAGGAACAGTCATGTAATGACCTCCAAATATCACAGGAACTGTTGTGTAATGACCTCTGAATATCACAGGAACAGTTGTGTAATGACCTCTAAATATCACAGGAAGTTCCGTGCAATGACATATCACAGGAACAGTTGTGTAATGACCTCTAAATACCACAGGAACAGTTGTGTAATGACCTCCAAATATCACAGGAACAGTTGTGTAATGACCTCTGAAATATCACAGGAACTGTGGTGTAATGACCTCTAAATATCACAGGAAGTTCCGTGCAATGACATATCACAGGAACAGTTGTGTAATGACCTCTAAATACCACAGGAACAGTTGTGTAATGACCTCCAAATATCACAGGAACAGTTGTGTAATGACCTCTGAATATCACAGGAACTGTTGTGTAATGACCTCTAAATATCACAGAAACTGTTGTGTAATGACCTCTAAATATCATAGGAACAGTCGTGTAATGACCTCTAAATAATCATCTGCACTCCAAATATTAACAAAGATGTCCCGTACCAGACGGACTAAAATGAACTATCCAAATAGTTCATCATACTTTCAATAAATTTATAAGTTACAGTGTCTCATTTTTGGACAAAAAAAAACTGTTCCAGGAATATAAGTAGACAAGTTTATTGTTTGTAAATCACTTAAAAGAAACATGAAAATATTTACATTAAAAGTAATTTTTAAAATCATTCTTGCAACAAGTAATTGCATTACATAGTACCCATGAGTTATCAAGTTTAAAATATACAAGTTTAAACAGGAAAAGTCGAGGCATGCTAGAGATATGGCTCTGTAAAAGCATTCAATAAAAACAAAATGGCCACCAGTCGGTCATTTTAAAACCTCTAAGAGAAAACAATTTTGGTGCTATAATGTATGCACTAAGTTCATCCATGCACAACTGAGAAATGGTTCCAGAAAAGCAGAAATGATTTTGATGAATGGCCATCATTCGGCAATCTTAAATGCATGCATGCATGCATATGTTACCCAATGTGTGAAGTTTATGACCAGGTATGTTTGAGATACAGGTGAACACGCACACATGTGCGCGCACACACACACACACGGATGCACGGAGGTCAATCCACAAGTTCCTCATTTTCCGAAATTGTTCTAGATACAAATTTAAATTAAAAATGTCCAGTCACTATAATTTTGTGATTATAATTTCATTTAATTTAATCAAAATTCAAAAAATAATTATTAAAAATCAATATACTGTAATGCATTGAGTATTCACTGGATTTTACTTTCGCTATTTGACACTGACTAAGTCAAATCCAAGCAAATGTGTTTCACTGGAATATCAATAAATTTAAAAAGTGAAATTAAATTGAAGTAAAAATTAATATATTCACAGTACTAGATTACAACTATAGCATACCAACAACAAAACAAATGCGAGTAGTTCAGTAGATATATTCTTTCATTAATTGATATATAGTGAACCCCTCGCCAAGTTGCGTTTCAGTAAGCGATTTCACAGGTAGTTGGATAGTTCTCAAAAATTACGCTTTGACGGCAGTTTTGAAGTAAAAGAACTAACATTGTGCATTTAATTAGCTGTTAAAAGGACAACTAAACACCTACAGACTGTCAATGACTTGAATCCATCACTCTGAACTGGATTCTCCCCTCAGTAAATCACAACCCCGATAAGTCTTGGTTTTTACTTGGATCCCAATTTGTGTGGTCAGAATATAATCAATAGCAGAAGTAAATGTGTGACCACGAATGCAAAACCATAATTTGATCAAGCCATGATACAAATGATTGCGTGTACTATACGTGATTCAATTACAGTATTTCAGTGTAGTTTAGAAGTTAATAAAATCCTTATTTTTTTTACTGAAAAAGCCTCAAAAATTCACTTTTAATAAATTATTAATAAATATCTTGCTTTGTTGAACAAATAACAAATCTGAGTAGGTCTTTCAAGCAATATAACATGCAGTTCATAAAAAAAATCATGCATGGTGAGCAAGAATGCATTCCAGCTACCAGTTTATAATATAGTCAAAAAATATCAGATTTTGATGAAAATGAACTATTTAATCAGTAATTGAAACAAACCACCCAATCTGATTAAAATCAAAAATTTGCTTTAACATCATCTGATCTGACCCAAACAGAAAGCTTGTTACAGGAAAGCAGACTGTAACAAACATTTTTATTGGTTGATGTTCCAAATGACTTGACAATGATTTGAATAGAAATTTGATAAGATGTAGTTACACCAATGATGTTACCTACATCAGATTTTAATCAGATATAAACCACTCAAAGTATTACTGCCTGCTTAGCAAATGTTAAAACAGAAAATATTATCTATATTTATAAAAAAAAAAATAGATTAATTTAAATAATCTTCCTTGTGTCCAAATTTTAAGTTATGCTAATTTCTCCAGAAATATTTAACCTTTATTTCTTACTTTTTTTGTTTTATCATTCCTAGTCTTGTTGTATTTTTTATGTTTTAGTTTTTAAGACCATACTGCTGTACCATTCTGTGTAAGTGTAGTGTCTATAAAATATCTATTAAAAACATACAACAACAAATTTCAGTGCAGGATACAAGTACTTCTCATTATTAAACAGCGGTGTATTGGTCCAACTTATTTTGAAAACATGCAACAAAGCAAATTAAGTCAACATCCCATGTACGCTTCCAATCAGGAAGAAAATAAAAGCATGAATCATGAAAATGGTTAAAAATTTAGTTTGAATAAAAACATGACAAATATATTATACAAGAGGGTGGCATGTCATCCTCTTACATAAAGCATCATTGTGATAAAAGATCTTCTTGTATCTTCCCCTCTCAAAGAATTTACAACCTATTCTCCCCATGCTTTATCATATCTTCTCTGTTGACCTCTTCTATAATAATGGTTGTCACCATTACTGTATGGATGAGACTGCCTATGGTTACTTCTATAATCCCTCCCCCTCTTCCAAGTATTGTAATCTTGACTTCTGTTCCAATTTTGTTTAATATGCCCAGATATTTGACCTCTAGTCTCTCCACTATGTCTCGACGTTTGATCTCTAAACCCACTCCCATGCCCTGCTAAATACCTTCCTCTATTAGCATCATACGTCTCATCATAATGTGAATGCCGCCGTCCTCTCCAACTATCAGAATTTCCCCAATTCATACTTGAATCATCTCTGTGAAAGTCATCACGTCTTCTGTGATTATTCCATGAAGACCTTTCATAAGAGTAACTCCTAGAATTTTGCCAGGCTTCTCCATATTGATTGAAATCTTGTTGACGATCTACACTTGGATTCCATACTGTTCGGTAATCATTTCCTGCATATTCATCGTTTCTATCATCTCTCCCATGCTTCTCTCTATGTCTTGGTTGTTCTCCTACCCCTGCCATGACAGGGAAATTCTCACCCTCTCTTCCTTCTTTGCCAGCTGGTTGTTCTTTCTTCAGATCATCAAGATAGTTTTGACGCTCTATAGAATGTCCCCTTGCTTTATTAAATTCTTCAATGGCACGATCTGGTTTCCATTTCAAAGAGTCGATCAGGTACCTACAGACCATGTATCCAGTTCTGTTAACACCATGTGTGCAATGTACACCCACTAAAGTATCATTACATTTATTTTCTTCCACAAACTGGTCAATAGTCCGTTTAAAGCTCTGGATTTTCCCGTAGTCGGGGACCACGTGACCCAGGGTGTAGATCTTCTTGTACTGCACGTTGATTCGGGCGCCATTTTCGACATTCACTTTATGCTTGGTGATGTCTTTGCTGTCGTAATATCGGGCTGTATTCGTAAGGTCAATGACGAGTCCCAATTTATGTCCAGTCTTTTCGACTTCTTCAAACAATTCGGAGGGGCCAAAATACTGGTCTTCTTCTGTTAAATTATTTGCAATCCCGTCCCGCAATGGCACTTTGAAGGCAAATATTCGAGTGCCAGCCACTGGCTTGCCAACAGGTACATACGACTCCCAGCGGTCCGGAACACTGTTTCTTCCCGGCATAAAACGTATAAAGTATCAATATAACTTCGAAAGCGTTTTACCTATTATAATTCCGGAAATTCTATAAACTCCAAGTCACTGTGCCCGTGGTTCCCCAATCACCGCTATGTCAAAGTTCACTTATTGCGCCCGCATTCGACAAACATTTTCACTTCCGTTTACCACAGTGGCTGTATGTACGAATCTGGCACGTTTGCTAATAATTTCATGAGTAAGACTTTTCGTTTTATTCAAAACACAATCACTGAAAAACATTTTCGATGTGTTTCAAACTTGAAATAATCACTACAGAGTGGAGTAAATCGGTTGCAAAAAAGTGATAAGAAAATTACAGAGAAATTACATTGACTTTGGTGATACTATTGACAAACAAGAGACCAATTATTCATTTTGATACTTACTAGTATTTGGTATTTTTGGATTTTAGAAAAGCATTTGATAGTATATGGCAAAATGGCTTCGAAGACAAATTATGGAGATCGAGTGATAAAACATACGTACAATCACACTGAAAGTAAAGTTTTATTCATTGAAACAGAACATTTTACCCAAAACGAAAGTTTGAAACAGGGATGTGTGCCCCATTGCCGTTTTCAAATTATATTAATGAATCTTAAAAAAGCTATTTGATAGTGCACAGCTTGGGAAACAAATAGGTGATGTTATGATAAATTATCTATTTTGTGCAGAGGATGTGGTGCTCTCTGGACTAAATAACAACCGAATATGACAAATTCAATCTATACATTTTACAATAAATGCAATGTTCTAGTCATAGACAAGCGAGGGAACATAAGTAAAAATGATATGTTGAAAGATCATCAATAAAAGAAGCTTCTGAATATATAAATATCTAAGATATTGGTTCGCAGGGATTTAACAACCGTTTTCCAGTTATGAGGGCAATACTTGGCAGTGTAAATAGAGAAGAGTAGAGTATGGTATGCCACTCTGGAACAATGTTGTAAGACCGATAGTTTAGTATTCTGGGCGAATGGTAACATCAAGCATCACTGACATGGAGAAAATATAATTTTTCAACGCACAGAGGTAAACTTATACTTGCCGCAAGTAGTGGTATATAGAACGCCGACCCGCAGTGTCAACGCGAGGAAGTAGATTACACCAGAGAGCTATCCGTCCCTCTAGAGGCTAGAGGGACTGTGCACAAACGTAATCCGGGGAAGTAGTGTCACGTGATCGTATTGGTCCAGTGCTATGCGAGCGAAACTCAGTTTAAAGTATATAAAACATATTTTAAAAACACACTCAGTTGCATTTTATGACGACGCGAACGCACTCCAGCGTGTAGAACTCCCGCCCCATTCTATAACGTATAATAAATCGTTATCTTCCATACATTCCACTCGCTTTTCGCGCGTAGTCCACACTCTCGTTATCACACTTTTTTTATTTCTATTTTATTTAAAATGGTTTGAAAATAAGGACACCGCCATGAGGTGAGTTTGTATGTAGAGATATCCGTGAATGATGCCACAGTCACAACATTACTTATTTTAGGGACTGTGCGTTAATTACCAGGGGTGAAGGAATTGGGGGCGGGATCGTCACCCTTTTTTCCGGTGCACGTTTTGGTTGGTTTACATACTTTTAAGACAGTCATAGGAAGAGGGTCATGTAATTTTGGTCCACCCACTGTAATTAAATGAATATACAATAGTATATTGTTTACAAAAATCAACCCCAGTCAAAAAATACCTCGTATTTTTACAGTTCAGTATCAGTAGCATTATGGGTGAACCACCTTTATCTCACTTGTTAATGCGCTTCACAGACTGTACAACAGAATCTTCTAACTTATTTCGAAACACCTGATTGATCACCACCATAATTTGTAATGTATTGTCTATATGTATGTTGGTTGTAGCTGAATTGTGTTCATCTAATGTACCAGAAACTATATTAACTTCTTCTCATTGACTTGTGCTTCATGGTCACGGTGAAGGACGCAATCTTGTTCTTTCCGGAAGTAGAAAGTCGACAATTACAGTTATCATTGTTTCACGCTAATTGAAACGAATGTTCTCAATATATCTTGTTGTAATTAGACAAAATAAAATACGAGAACCTGCATCCAATATTCAATCGTCTAATGAGTACAATATCGAATTCAAGTTAAGCATTGTTACGAGAACCTGCATCCAATATTCAATGGTCAGTATCATTAATAGTACTATAGAGTTGTTGACCCATTATGTTATTATTACCCCCCCCCCACACACACACACACACTGGTTTGGTTTTTTTACTATTATTATTGGCTTATTCCAGTGAATAACACCATTGTCTGGTAATTTTAACCCACGCCTTTGTGTATATTTATCTGATTTATGTTTATTTGAAAGTACTGTTTATGAAATAGTTTCCACTGAATTATCTTATGGTAAATTGACAAACAGTGCTAATTTGGCCCTGGCCTTCAAAAAATAATTATGACATTTGCAGGACTATACTAAGCCTGTACTAACAAAATCTTAGCCTTGTCACTCCCTTAAATCGACAACCATTGATTTGTAAAGCGTGATTGACTGGAATATTTATTTATAGATGTCGATGCATCTATTATTGAGGGTGAGTCACCATTTGTACCCCGGCCCCGGTAATTAACGTCCAGTCCATTACTTCTGTTGGTTCTCTTCAAAGGCTTCCACTTGCAATATTGGTGTTGTTGGTGTGCGCTGCAACGGCCGCTGTCGTGGAAGCTGCGACACCAGAGCCAACAGCTACCAGTGAACCCATGCCTGAAGTATCGCGCCCTGAGCCGACTGGGGATGAGAATATAGCTCCGGAACCAGAAGACCAACGACCAAACGCTGCAGAAATTGTTCTGCCACCGTTCATGCTCATCGCCCTGATTATCACAGGTATTGCCATGGCGACGAATGCGAATACGAGTATTTTCAGTTTTACACAAATATTCAAGCTATTCATATGCTGGATTACACTAACAATGTAATATATCAAAAAATCTGAACCCATCCTATGCCCCTTCACAGTTCAAAGTGCCGATTTTCACAAATCTAAATATAATTGTGAGAACGGTCCAAATCCAGAATGACCAAACATTATCATGGATGCATCTTCACCATCATGTGATCACTGTTCTGATTACATTTATAGCATTATCAAGTTTAGTCATATTATCAAAAGTGAGAAGTAAGGCTACTAGTAACAAACGTCGTGAGGACTTCATTAATCGGGCCAGTTCAAAGACTTTGGTGAATGTCAACGAACATATAGACCTGGACAGTGTCAAAGTAAAGGTGGTGGATAAACAAACGTGTAAGTATTTAAATTATAACGCATGAATTCAGTGGGTTTGTCGTTATCGCTTTGTTGAGTCGATGTAATCATTAGAGGGTCTATGATGTAATGCACCGTTCCTATAAATGACGCCCTCTAGCGACGGGCGTTTCCGTTACGTAAGTAGATGCGAAGGACATCGTTATCAGCGTCAGTATCAAGCAGAATGTCAGAAAAGATCCATTCAGCATTGCCAATTCACATTTCATTAGAGGCACAGCTAACTAATTGTTTGCATCAATGTAGCAAAATTTATAAAAACAGGATTAGAAATCAAGCAAGATACTAGTAGATCATAGGTGTTTGTGTTTGCGCATGTGTTCGTCTTCGTGTCTCTGTATTGTGGTTTGTTTATTTTTTATACTCTTTTTTTACTTTTTGCATTTACTATAGTTGTTGCAACCTTTTCCATCCACTTAGAAGGATGTGTGAGTGTCATTGAATAACTAAAACAAAATATTGTTTCAAACTGTTGTCGTCCGTCGATGAAAATACGCTTGGTCGCTAGAGTACGAAAGCCGAGAGGGGCCTTGCTACTTTCTACTTCACAGTTCCAACTTCCGACTTCTAACTTCCGAGTTCCAACTTCTTAATTCTAACTTTTATGGAGAGCAAAGCAATATGGGATATTGAGCACATGCACGTGTAACCCAATGTGCTAGAATCGTGATAAGTAATAGGGGTCTGTTTCAAAGTTTTTATTTTCAAATTTCCATTGGACACTATGATAGATAATAAACACGGTTTTTTTTTTATATGTGTACAGTTTTTACGGAATCTGACATCGAAGCCTTAGATAGTCTGAACACCTTCTTCAACCAGCCTCTTCAACTAATTTGGAATGCTGTGCCTGCGTTTATGTCACTTGCATTTTGCCCCCTTGTGCTCTACATATATGGACCAATGGTAGAATTCTTTTGGCCTAGCGACAGGTTTCCAGACGGAGCCCCGAACATAAATGAATCGATAGGTATTATACGTACATCTTCGAATATGTTTTTTTTTTCGATCATGATACTTTTCTTTTTAATAAACATTTGCTCAAAACTATTATAATATTTATTACTCACTTTTGTTTTTTGTTATTCTTCGTAGCTTGTTTCCTGGCACCGGCTGGTTTGGTGTACGCGTAAGTACCCACTACCACGAACATTTTATCCTCTTTATTTAGGCCAGAGGAGAGACATAGTTTCCTTAAAGCAGATTATTATTTTACTTTCTGGGTAATGTGCAATTTCGTTTATGTCACCTGCAATTAAAAAAACTATATGCTGAACCCATACCTACAATCAACACAGATAAACGGCGTACCCACTTACAGATAACAACCAACAAAAATAAAAATTCATAAAAGACGAAACGCAAAGAATAAATCAAAACAGCAATAAAAAAAAATAAAAAAAAAAATACGTAAGGCATTATAATACTGAAATACCATAACAGTACAGAATTACAAAAGTATAAAATGGAGAAAATGTCAATGCATGTATTTGGCGTGGATTTTATTTCATTGGAACAAAGCATGCTTCTAAGGGATGCACATTATTTTTTCCAATTAATTGAACATCTATTACGCTTACAATAGGTGTCTTTCTTAAATTTCTAAACGAAGCATATAAACAAATTTGACATCTGAGAATAGAAACATCAAAGTGAAAGTTGTATGCGAAAATACGAGCACCAGATTAATCAATCAGAAACTAATATATTTGAATAATATGCAGATGACATTTGACAGAAAAAAAGTATCGACCGCTTCGTTATTAAATTTTCTGTTCGCACTTTTATTGTCCAATTGTTCGCGATGTCATGGAATTAGACTGCAATATTTAGTTGGCAATATACCTGGAGCAATAGAAAGATGCAGGACCCTTTGTATAGTTGCTTGTAACATACAGAAATCATTTTTATATACAAGGGGCCGACAATACTCCCATGTTCGATAAAACTCATATTTACCATTATAAGCGATTTGCTACGTGGCTATAATCGGTGACGGGCTGGTTCTCACTGGACCATGGTCACTCCGAAAAAGTTGTGATAGGTTCGATCGTGCATGCATGCTTCGTGTTTCATCCACATGGTAACGTCATTTGTCATTTGCTCTCATTTATTCTACCAGAACATCTTTTGGGTTTTCATTCCAATCCGCCATGGCGAAACAACGTTCATTACTCAACGTTATATCATTGGAAGTCAGTTTACTTGATCAAATCATGATTATGACGTCACACCTGACCAACCTGAAGATTAAGCAGAAATTGGAGGTATGTACAGATTGACAACACAAACAAACAAATTGAAGAGTTTATTTGACACAACATAAAACATATGGTCAACTAGGGATAGACCATTAGAAACTTGGGGACAACGGCGGAAAACTCTGCAAAATATTTTTCTTTAAATTTTGTTTCCACGATAAATTTACTGTAATTTTTTTTTCATCAAGATTTAGGCATGCAGGTTTCAGTTATTGCTCCCTGGGAGAATTTTTTCCTGTAAAATCATCCCTCTGAGTTTCTAATGGTCCATTCCTTACATACTTAACACGTCTTGTACATGGGCTAGTACTGTGAATTATACTTGATACTAGTACCTGAAAACAGGTACAACACACTGATATATATAATCTTCAATCAAGAGGGGATTGATGAACTGAAGACCAAGACGTGAGCATTCGAACTGAAAATGGATATTGTTATAAAAGTTTAAAACTACGCTGTGATCTAGAAGCCATTAGCTTGATTGTGTCGAGGGAAAAAAGACCATGGACACAATTCGAGCTTTAGACCCGCATCTACCGCACATGACACAGTTTTGCGACAAATATTAAAGTGGACCAATGCATGTATATCATTTTTCAATGCAGATTTTTCGTGTGATTAAAGACGAGTGTATATCGATCGTTCTTCAAGTACAAGGCAAAGTGAAATATAGCTCTAAAGACTATAAATCAAATAGATGTAGCGGGCAGACATGGAAGGTGAAGATTAAATAGATTTACTTCTATTGATTTCATTGAAACACACAATGTTGATAACTTTAAGTAGTTTTGAATTTACAACAATCTGTTTGATATTGCATCTTGATAACAACAGTAGGGTAAAAAAAAGACTTTTAGTCATTAAACATAACAGTATTCGTTGGATGCGATATAAAAACGGCTCGCGCGCTTCAAATTAGATGTACGTATCGGTAAATAGGGACGCATGCGCATTAATGTGTTTAGTTGCTTCTTCGAACGAATACTACCATGTTTGCTGCCAAAAATAGATACATTCAATATTACTACATTATAAATTGCTCTTATCAAGATATGCTGTTTTATTTTCTCTCGCTTAGCTATTTGTGTTACACATTCGTTACAGCATTACAAGACAATTGTCGATATTATTGGATATATTAATTGTTGTTTACAGATACTTCGACTGTTACAGAAAATAATGGATCGGGACAAAAAATGGACGGTGGACAGAACTATGTCGGTAAGGATCACACTGGTTATAGACATACCACGTGATAGAGCCGAACTGTACACATATCTTCAGTACACTATTATTACTGTATGGGAGTTATACAATTCTACACAATTATCACACAGGTTGTTGCATTTTGTTTATAAATACAGATATGATAGCATTACTCGTATTTTCTGCTGTAATATAAAGATTTGGTAGTATCACTCACATTTTTGCTGTACTGGACTATACCAGTCCTATTACAGCACAAAATGGGATGTATCTACAGAATGGCTTCTGTTAATATAGAATTAAAATCGAAAGAAGATTGCTTTATTGATAGGTGGTAGTTCATGTGACCAATTCTTGACTTTTGTTGAAGTTTAATAAATAAATAACAAATAAATAAACAAACATTGTGATTATTCTAGGAATTAATGTGGGGGGTAGTTAAATTCAGCTATGGTATTATAGAGGGTGCATGCTGCACGACGAAACGCAATGTTCGACAGGCGCTAATTAATAGTAATGCTTTCAGCCACATACCTTAGAAAAATAAGGTTTATGTTTCAAGTATTCACAACTTCAATATTTTTAAATCTGACGTTCATAAAAAAGCAACTGTTCATAAACGAAAAGATTAGTATCATGTTTTAGATTCACGAAAACCTCAGTATTACACTCCAAGTAGACATTGCACTGTTCTCTGTACAATGGCATCGTTAAAATGTCTCCTATACAAATCAATGACACTTCTAATATGCAATTACTATTTTTTCACAGATGAAAATAGTGGACCATATGATACGTTTGAATACGGCCAGCTCAGAGCGCCAAGAAACTCTTGAAGCAAAGATACACCCACTTAAATGGATCTTCTTGGAATGTCTTGGATTCTTTTCCTTTTTTGGAGTTTTGTTATTACAGGTAATGCTTATTATGAATTACGTATATGCATGTACAATATATAA